ATATATATATATAGGGTGTCCCCGTATAAGTGGCCACCCCTTTTTATCTCGTAAACTAATAGAGATAGACCTAATAAATATAATATCAAATTAAACAGCTCTAACTAAACTTTATTGTAAGCAGAGTGATTACTTAGAAATAAAGATTTTTTCACGATGAACACGATACCGTTTGAAGAATTCGCCTAGCGCGCCAGAATTTTGAGTAAATTGGAATAAAAGTGGCTAAAAATGGCATTTTTGGCAACTTTTAACATTTTCTTGCGACAAAACAGAATCAGGTTTCTAAATGTATTCAACGGCATCTGAAAGTATCATTCAAGAGTTTTTAAACAAATTTTGGTTCATAACCGTATAATTTTTTTCATCAAGTTATGGCTGATTGAATTTTATACTTTTAGACTTTTTATGCACTGGATTACAAAAAAACACTTTTTTTTTCTTTCTAAAGTGCGACTATATATTTTCCAAAGGTTTTTTTGCTCTGAACACGATGTCGTTGGCAGAATTCGCCTAGCATGTTAAGATTTTGAATAAATTGGAAAGAAAGAAGCTAAAGTTCTTTGATCACTTTGGCCACTTTCATTCCAATTTACTCAAAGTCCTGACATGCTAAGCGAATACTGCCAACAGCATCGTGTTTAGTACGAAAAAATTTTCCTGAAACGTATGGTTGCACTTCGGAGAGAGAGAAAAAGTGTTTTTTTGTAACACATTGTTATCACATAATTATCCATATCGCATAATTGTCCATAATGATATTCATTATCACCTGCAAAAAGTTGATTGTACTTAACTGTTTACTTACGTAAATAGTGTGAATATTATGAGATGCTATATAACCGCGCGTGAAATGTGTCTATGCATAAAAAAGTTGATCAGTTTACTAGGAACAACTGTTAACTAGGAACAAGTTTCATTCAGGAAATTCCCTTTAAATTAAGGTAAACATATGTCTGGATCCTTACAAAAAACTTATTAATCTCAAATGCTTTTTTTATTATACTAGTATTATAGGTGCGCGCTTTGCGCGCGTTATTTAGCACTTATTACTATAATTTGCAATTACACACCAACCTTAATACACACAACTGTCAAAATATGCAATGACAGCCGCTCACGAAGTAAGCGCAGCAAGAGAATTAATCAGCATCGCGGAAAAGCGGTAACAATATTTCGAGATATGCAAGTATCGACGTGCAAGTATCGACATGCCTTTTTTTTAGAAAGGAGAAAAAGGAAATATTATAAAATATTATAATATCAAAACTTAATTGTAAA